TATGTACCCAAATAATGACCAGATAATCAATTCACGTGACGAATGCGATGCAGAGATTCAGATTAAATCAACGGGCTTAAAACCTTAATAATGAAGTGACACGCCTGATCCCTTTCCATAAATCCATTACGTGCCTCGGATGCCTCTCTGTGCTCTGTATATATAAATTCCGTGAGGCATTTTTTTGCTGAGCTGGCTGGGATTAAATCAATTGCCCGCGCAGCAGGCTGCATGCCTCCATGTCCCCTCTAATAAATTTCAGCTTTGACGGCGCCGCTCACCTTCCATGCAGCGGTGGCACAAGGACAATTTCAAAAGTAGGCTAGCATACCAGCTTTTATCAGCTATTTTATTCCATAAATGTACTGGGAGTACATTTTCCAGCATTGTTGGAAGGTTATGTTTGCTTTCCGTCTCTGTAACTACGACCAACCGCAGACAGTGCTGTTTCTTACTGGTGTAGGTCTAGTAGGCTTGGAGACCGATGAAAAGAAAGCAAACAAATGTGTATGATTGTTTGAAATGCTTATTACACTGTGCGGAGATCTGACAAATCTGAAGATCTCCACCTACGAAAGGTTTGCAAAGTTGATCTCATCCTCATCCCATACGATGGAGTATGACAGAAGACATCTACGTTAACGGCTAGCAGTCGGAGTACCATTTTCATGGTAAAGTTTATGGTGCACTTGGTGCTTGCGTGACGGTCTTCCAGGCTAGGCGGTGACTTCTCTAAGAGAATGATTAAATCTAATTCAGGAATGCGCCAGTGCTATTTAGTAGTCAGCTAATCGTAAAAAAGTGACCTTACTTTGAGCCGCAGGAGGTTGAAGATTGAACACCTAGCTACGAAGGGGGCTGAAGGCTCCTGTATTGGCCCTGAATTGGAGTTGGATGTTATTAGATCCTGGTCACTATTGACCTGAACAAATGGAATTGGGATTTAGTGAAGGCCTATAGAGAGATAACTAGGGCAGGGCTAGAAGGTTCATAGCGGTTCTCGATAGGCGTTAGACGATCTGACAGATGAATAATCTCTTCAACTGGGGTGAGTTCGGCCGCCTCGCACACTCGCTCCAGTCAGAGTCTTCAGGCCATTAAATCGATCAATTAGCACTAATACTTGACAATACCTCCTCGCCCAGTAGCGCAGGAAATGCAGAGAAGGGAAAGGGTCGTCTTGTTTATCTAGAAGCCAATTTCGAAACACAAATGGTATGCTCCTGGTTGGATTCTTTAGGTGAGGTTATAACAGGAGTTCCCAACCAAGGGGGCATAGAGACATGTCAGGGGGGGGGGGGGCGGAAAGCGTTTGCATTTTAGAAAGAAAAAACAAAAAAATAAGCAAACAACATTAACAAGAAATTTTGACGTCAAGGCGTTTTGCGTTTTATCTTGTGGATCAGTATATACGTTGTGCGTAACACCACCAGATGGAACAGATTGGAGCCTGTGAATAAAGCGCATCGGGCTAGAATAAACCCATGCTAACTGGATAGGTATTTGTCCCTCATTAAAAAAATACACTATACACAATTCATTATGTGCTGGGAAGAGGACAAGAGGGAATATCACTTTTCAGCTGGATCTTTAATGTTACACGATGTAAAGGCCAATATTTGTATACAAGATAACGGATCTTGACTCAATGTAGGAAGGTAGAAGATACGTTCAACAGAATGGCCGAATATCCTGCCAACTGGGTTTGATAATATACTAAGTGATATATAAATCCGAACACAAAGTTTAAATGGTTTTATTTTAAAAAAAAATTGTTTAAGTACTTAATGAAGCATAATAAGTAGATGATAAAAATTTCAAAATGATTGCACTGCTTTAAAGCCCTTTGACCTTTAATAATGTGTGGATGCACCCTGATGTGGTACGCATTCTCCAACGCGCCTAGGCATGCTTCTGATCAGGTGGTCAATGTCCTCCTGTGGTATCACATTCCAGGCAACCACCAACTCCTCTCGAAGTGCTTCTAGAGTCTGAGGAGGACGTTGCAAATTGAGCAATCTGCGACCCATCATATCCCACACGTGCTCAATTGGGGATAAGTCGGGAGATCTTGGTGGCCATGGAAACAATGTGACATCATTATGTTGAAAGAAGTCTATTGTGACTCTTGCAACATGTGGTCGGGCATTATCTTGTTGGAAAGTTGGATCTGCCAGGGTGTCAAGATAGGGTAAAAGATGGGCTTCTAGAACTTCGTGGATATAACGCTGCGCGTTCATGTTATCTCTGATGAAGATTAAAGGTGACCTGGAACAATAAGCTATAGCACCCCAAACCATAACTCCAACAGTGTGATGAACATGTCTTTCAACAAAAAACTGTGGATTCCTCCTTTCACCACGTCGCCTTCTAACCCTTACACCGACGTAATCGCCTTGAGTGGTGCAGACAACGGTCACTCTGGGATCAGGAATGGAACAGTATTGTCTTTAGTGACGAGTCTCGATTTTGTTTAGGCATGCACGATGGTCGTGCCAGGGTTAGAAGGCGACGTGGTGAAAGGAGGAATCCACAGTTTTTTGTTGAAAGACATGTTCATCACACTGTTGGAGTTATGGTTTGGGGTGCTATAGCTTATGGTTTCAGGACACCTTTAATCTTCATCAGAGGTAACATGAACGCGCAGCGTTATATCCACGAAGTTCTAGAACCCCATCTTTTACCCTATCTTGACACCCTGGCAGATCCAACTTTCCAACAAGATAACGCCCGACCACATGTTGCAAGAGTCACAATAGACTTCTTTCAACATAATGATGTCATATTGACAATTGAGCACGTGTGGGATACGATGGGTAGGAGATTGCTCAATTTGCAACGTTCTCCTCAGACTCTAGAAGCACTTCGAGGGGAGTTAGTGGTTGCCTGGAATGAGATACCACAGGAGGACATTGACCACCTGATCAGAAGCATGCCTAGGCGCGTAGGAGAATGCGTAGCACATCAGGGTGCATCCACACATTATTAAAGGTCAAAGGGCTTTAAAGCAGTGCAATCATTTTGAAATTTTTATCATTTACTTATTATGCTTCATTAATTACTTATACAAAATTTTATTAAAATAAAACCATTTAAACTGGGTGTTCGGATTTATATGTCACTTAGTATAGTTAAAAAAGAGTCATATGAAAATTAATCTTATTTGGCCAAACCTTACTACTCCTTATGGAATTTATTACCTCGAACGGTTCTTCCTCACTTAAGTCTTCCTTGTACGTGACTCCTCCTGGTGTATAAGTGTAATCTGAGCCATTTTATTCCTCTCCAGACCACTTTTTTCCATTAATGTTCACCTTTGTTTGCTACACTACGTTATCAGGAGAGCCGAATATTCAAAGAAATAACTCATGTGTATTTCTGAAACATTAAATGTTTTTTAGCGCCACACAGCCTGACAAAGTTCATTCACTCCCTCGGATATACTACAGGACATGGATAATACAGATGTACAAGTGGATTTATCAGTCTTCCCCCGAAAAGTCTTTACCGCTATCGTTTAAGATTCCTTTTTCCATAAGAAAAACAGGACAGCGCATCGTGACACAAGTATAGATATATCTCTTTACAGGAACTTCATAAAGAAATAAATTGTAGGGGAGACCGCGGATGGTTGACTATAGGGGTAGGTAGACTAACCTCCAAGAACTCGTCAACGATATGAGTGATTTTTGTTTTCGTATAATGTAAGTAATATTTTCATATTGCATATTTTTCCATCTGACTCTTACACATTTTATGTTAACAATTTGCCTATTAGTCAGAGTGTTTCGTGAGTGCATATTGATACTATTTCATGTATTATTTATTAAGTTGATGGCAGTGTTTATGCAACCCATGCCATTGAAACTTAAAATGGCGTCAAGGGGTTGGTAGAATAAGCTCTTTCGGGGCTGGTTAAATAGTTAGTCAACCAACCCCAATATAATTTGAAGTTTAAAAAATCTCGTAAATTAACCTTTTATCTGTGTTTTAATATTCATTTTGTTGCAGTACAATGAGGACCTATAAAAGAAGGACTGAACGAGCTGATACACCAAAAGATATCCTAGAAACAGCTTGTCATCTAATAATCTTTGACACAAAAAGTATTAATGCAACTTCAAAACAATAAGACATTACATCGTTATGTGGCGAAACTAAAGGAAAAATTGGAACGTAATCCGAACTTGACGAGAGCAGAATTAACTTTGGAGTCAGTGGGATATATTAAAAATAGGCAAGTTTTCACTGATGAAGAAGAAGAAGCTCTAGCAAGTTATTTAAAGAAAGCCGCTGATATTTATTATGGATTGACACCATATGAGACCCGAAAATAATAAAAAGTAACAAAGCTATGCCTGATTCTTGGAGAACAAAATTGTTAGCTGGCCAAGATTGGTTAGGCTCGTTTTTCAAACGTCATATTCAAGCAACAAGCCTTTCAAGAACTACATCATTCATCAAATATAACGTCAGTATGTTCTTCGCTAATTTAACTGCTGTTTACCAACGTTTGAATTTAAGCCCTGGTGATATCTGGAACGTTGATGAAACAGGTATGACAACCGTGCAAATACCTAATAGAGCAATAGCACGACGTGGTTTTTAAAATCTAGGCAAGATGACATCTGCTGAGAGGGTACACTGGTGACAGTTGCAGTAGCTGTTTCAACTGTAGGAAATATAGTTCCAGCATTTTTCTTATTCTAGGACCCCTTCCAAAAGCGGCGCCACTTTTAGAAAATAGAAGAAATATTCGGAAACGTAAAAAAACTATATATACCCACACCCCGGAAAAACTAAATCTTTTAGATCTCAGAAACAAAAGAGAAACATATAAGAAGAAAAAACAGATACATTGGACAGGATAGAAAAAGAAAAAGGGAAGGGCAACGGAAAAGTATAGGGCAAAGGAAAAGGAAAGGGTAAAGGAAAAGGAACGGATAAAGTTGATGAGATTGCTGATGACACCGTCGATGAAAATGACGGTACTGTTGTAGATACCATTTTCGGAACCTGCAGCGCCAAAATATGGTAAAGGAAAACCGAAACAGCAGGAAGTGAAGATTCTGCTTATAAATGTGAGATCCCTAAGAAGAAAAATAGATGAGTTGGAAGCCTTTCTTGTTGATGAGGACATTGATGTACCGTGCCTGACAGAACATTGGCTGACCAAAGAAGAAATGGAAGTTGTCCATTTACAGGGATACATGATGAGAGGGTCTTCTGAACGGAAGGACTTCACAGGTGGAGGAACTGCAATTTTTACCAAAAATAAATTTAATTCATGTGTTATAAGTATTAATCCTACCTTTTATATTGAGAAATGTATTGAGTACTGTGTGGTTTATTGTCAGAGTCTGAATGTTTATGTTTTAACTATTTACAGATCTCCTTCAGGGAATTTTGATACCTTCTTGGAATCAATGGAGGGAATATTAACACAATTGAGTACGAATAGGCAACACATTAGATGTTAATACAAGTAAATTGTGTGACCTTCTCGCTAGCTTTGGCTTAGAAAGAACAATCTTTGAACCAACTCGTGGGGACTCCTGTCTTGACAATGTTTTCCTTAGTAGTGTGTGGCTCTCAGGTATGTGATATTGGAATATCAGATCATAAAGGTTAGCTGGTTAAATTTCTTGGTTGTGAAACCACAGGTTTTACTCAAAATAAAAAATGCATAGACCAGTAACACAAATAGGCTTGTTTATGTTACACAGTAGGTTGTCGGAGATATCTTGGGATTTCATTACTGTTGATAGTACCAGCGGTGAACAAAAGTTTAGCCACTTCATGGATATTCTTCAAGAAGCCTATACAACATACTCTTTTCCAAAGAAAACTTATGTGGTAAGATCCGCCCAGGGCAATAATATTTCCTGGTTTAATACCGAACTAAGGGCAATGAGGGAACATTTGAGGTTTTTGAGAGAGCTGAAAGGGCAGTATGGTTTTGTGAGTGACCAGTATTATAAAAACTACAAAAATCTATATAGAAGTAAAATAAGGTAAAAGCTAAGATAAATGCTAATGACAACCTTGTAAAGAGCTCAAGTAATCCTGCTAAAACCGTGTGGGATATCATTAACAAAAAAAGAGGTAAGGGTAATACGTGCCCTGGGAGCAGTGACCTGTCACCTGATGACTTTAATAATTTTTTTTATAACATAGCAGGTAATATAGTAAATCACATCCCTGATGTACATTTAGATCCTGTTAATAATATTGATTTCCTGGTACCGGCACCTCTGTTTTCTTTTTCTGAAGTCACATTTAACGAGGTTCGCGATGTAATAGATAATCTCAAAAATATAAACAGTAAAGATATTTTTGGTTTCAATTTAAAAATTGTAAAATGTATAAAGAACATAATTTTGATCCCTCTAACACGACTGATTAATATTTGTCTTAGAGAAAATATTTTTCCAACTGTTCTAAAGAGAGCTAGTGTCACACCTATTTTTAAGAACGGCAATGTTGATTCACCAGAGAACTACAGACCTATATCCCTTCTTTCAGTTATGTCTAAGATCTTTGAAAAATGTATGGCTTTGAGAATGGTAACCTTTTTTGAGGCAAATGAATTGTTTTCACAATATCAGTTTGGTTTTCGCCAGGGTGTACTTAACCTGATTTCTTCTATAATTGATGCTTTCCATGGAGGAGGGTATAACACGGTTCTTTTCTGCGATCTTAGTAAGGCATTTGATTGTGTGAGCCATGACATCCTTTTAAAACAGCTGCTTGCTTACAACTTTAGTTATGATTCCGTTAAACTAATTGAGTCTTACCTTAGTAATAGAACTCAGGTGGTGAGATGTGATGGAGTGACATCGACGGAGCGAAGTGTTAACATTGGCGTCCCACAGGGCTCCATCTTGGGCCCAATTCTTTTTTTAATTTACATAAATGATTTACCTCTCAATAACAATATGGCAAACTTTACTCTCTTCGCGGATGATACGACCGTCTCTCACACCGCTAACAGTTTTGAGCGCTCAATAGCACAGTCTCTGGCTGCGCAGGATGAGGCTGAGCTGTGGTTTTGCTCCAATAAGCTGTTGCTAAATGAAGATAGGACAAAGAGAATGGTGTTCTCCATGCGAAGCCTGCCTGGAGACAGTGATTTGGTTGGTGAAGCCAAGTTTCTGGGGGTTACTTTGGATCCAAGATTACAATGGGGCCTTCACATTGACATTGACAGTGTTGCTGGAAAGGCGACCAAAGGTATATATGTGCTACGGAGTTTGTCTTCTTGTGTTTCTGCAGAAATATTGAGAATGGCTTACTTTGCCATTTGCCATTCACATATATCCTACGCCATTCTGGCTTGGGGGCATTCTTCAGGGGTCCATAGACTGTTCGCCTTGCAAAGAAGAGCAGTTAGGGTTGTGAGCCGTCTGGGCTACAGGGACGATTGCAGAGATACGTTTGTCAAGTTGGGAATCCTTACTGTGCCTTGTTTATATATTTTTGAAAATCTACTATTCGTTAAAAGAAACTCTAACTATGTAACTCATGGGGACATCCATGAGCACAATACTAGGCATAAGAACAATCTAGTACCTCCTTATTGGCGACTGAGAAGGTGTCAAGATGGATCTGGTTATTGGACGGTCAAATTTTTTAATGTACTTCCAGACGGCTTAAAATCGCTTCCGTTTAAAGATTTTAAAGTTCAAATCAAGGAAATTCTTATTAATAACTCATTTTACACGTTTGAAGAGTTTTTAAGACATAAATTTTAACTATAAATCTTAATATGTTATGTTAGCGTTATATCTTTATGAGTGCTGGTGTACTTGTTTGTAATTTTTTATGATCATTCGCACTCCCTTTGTCTTAATTCTAATGCAATTCTCATTTGATCTACTGACGTATGTAAACATATTTTATGTATTGTGACATGAATAAAGAATTGATTAATTGATTGATACAGATGACGAGAGTACGATTTGTTTAGAGTGCACTGGATTCTACGTTCATAGTGTTCCAGGCGGACAATGGATTCAGTGCATAACTTGTAAGTTATGGGCTCATTCCGAATGTGTAAGAGGTGATCTAATGTTTTTTGAAGGCAAACATTGCGCTTCTGATATTGAAGACTTATAAGACTGAATCTAATAAATGTTTAAATAAAAACTAGGAGTTGATAGTTTTGTTAAAGGCTTATTGTAAGATAACTGATTAAAATTGTTTTTGAACAAAAAGTTCTGTTAAATTGTAAAAAAAGTGTCATAACTTGACTATTCTCATAATTTGTCACTTATTGATACGTAAGTCTACTTACCCCGGGCATATAGTCAATCTACACCGGAGCCGGGGTAAATTGACTAAGAATTGGTGGTAAAATGCGTTAAATTATGATCATTATATTGAATAATGGACTAGTTTTTATATTTTTAAGTTCAATATTTCTTCTATCCATTGATGCAGTTTTATTGTCTGTATGTATGAAAGCACAAAAATATGTACGATGTAAAAAACTAGTCAACCATCCCCGGTCTCCCCAAGTTATTTCACATAGGTGTACTTAACTCTGCACAAAATTGTCAAGTAAAAGTTAGGATGTAAGTCAATATAATCTTGCTTTCACAAAGGAGTGAAGACAAAATATTACTTATACCGATTGGCACATGTCGAAATTAAGAATTTAGAAAACCAACACAATCACGTAACTACTTTGTTTAACTATAAAGTATTTGGACCATTAATCTCATTTTCTTCATTGTTCGACTTATACCCCACTTCCCATACAGCCGCCAATTGTCCGGCCAATAAATCTTGGATTCTGAGGTAAGTCTAAACCTGTACCAAGTATCACCACTGTTCGCCCAGCAACCATAAATAAATCCGGGCTTCTACGGTCCCTCCGAGTCCCGTAAGGCCTGCACTTTCGCTGTTCCGCCACGGGGCGTTGCAGCCACTTTTATCATCGATATTCGCGCCTATGCCGTCACGCGGACACTTCTTTGCTGATCCCTAACGAGTTTATTTTGGTTCGATTGCTCGGAAAAGTCGACTTTTCTATTTAACAGGTACGGAGAATTTTCTCGCCGTCCGTCGGTCGGAATCGCCTCCTTCTTTTATTTTTCAGCCTTTGAAACGTCCGTTGCCGTACAGGTAACGCCGTTTGATGCGTTCGTTGTGCAGTTACAGCTTTGATTCGAGCGAGAATGGGCGGATGGGTAAAAATTGATTTCTATAAGCGGGTCAAAATAGCGAAGCGCGTGTAGTGAAGTGTACGAAATTGCTAAAATGCCCGCTTGCCGAGATATAGGGTCTTCAAGAGGTGTTTACGTTATCGAGGAAACCTTTACAACCAAGCAAAATAAATAGTAGTGTAAAACATGAAAGAATTATTCTAAAAGATGTAAGGAAATGATTCGGGTGTGCATATAATAATAATAATAATAATAGTGCTTCTGTTACCCCTGTATTCAAAAAGGGCGACAAATCCTCCGCTAAAAATTATCGACCAATAAGTCTCGTTCCTATCGCCACCAAAATAGCTGAAAGGATGGATTGATGATGACTGATGGATTTCTCCCTGGTCGATCAATAATGACCAACCTTCTCCACTCTCTCAACGATTGGACTCAGTATCTGGACACAAAGACTCCTGTTGATATAATCTACTTAGATTTTTCTAGGGCTTTCGATCGCGTACCACATAGAAGGCTTCTGTTTAAGTTGGAATGTATGGGAATAAGAGGCGAGTTGTTACTGTGGATTAAGGCTTTTCTCACCGGGAGGACTTTCTCTGTGCGCGTCAGTGATAGCCAGTCTCACCCTCATCATGTAGCAAGTGGAGTTCCTCAAGGCTCGGTCTTGGGGCTAGTGCTGTTCCTTCTGTATACAAGTGACCTGCCCGCATTGATTTCCTCCACATGTTCAGCTTATGCCGACGACACCAAGATTTACAATACTGTCGTAAATTCTACTATGCTTCAACGAGATCTTGATATTGTTTGTCAATGGTCAGTCAGTTGGCTTTTACCCTTAAATCTAACTAAGTGTTGTGTCCTTCACCTCGGGAAGACAAATCCGCGATTTACATACAAGATCTCTTACCACAACGTCGAAGCAGTTTCCAGTCACACTGATCTGGGCGTTGTAGTCAACGATCGTCTTTCCTGGTCAGAGCATATTCACCACGTTACATCAAAAGCCAAGAAACTTCTATACATGCTGGAGAGGTCTTTCAAAGGATCCGATGTCAACACTTGCGCCTACATTTACAAGGCATTCGTGAGGCCAATTCTTGAATTCGCTGGCCCGGTATGGGACACTGTGCTTCTGCGCGATAGAAATCTCGTCGAATCAGTACAGCGTCGGGCTACTCGTATCCCTTTTGGAGCACGAAGGCCAAGCTATGAAGATCGCCTTGAATTATTCAACCTGACCTCATTCTCTGAGCGAAGACTTCGTGGCGT